TTTTTTTTTTTTTTTTTTTTTTTTTTTTTTTTTTTTTTTTTTTTTTTTTTTTTTTTTTTTTTTTTTTTTTTTTTTTTTTTTTTTTTTTTTTAGTTTTTCTTTTTACTCTTCAGGATGCTCCTTAAATGGGCTTAAGTGCACTCCTGAATCAGGGCCTGTGAAAATAAGAGTTGGGAAAATCCTTGTGTATGGAACAGTAATTTCTGTTCATTTGGTGTATTACTGTAGTGCTCAGAAGCCCAGGTGGTGCACCAGCACCTCATTGCACCAGATGCTACACAAAAAAAATCACAAGGAGAATATTCAACATGAAGGGTCCAAAGCATTGCTGACAAATGGAGAGTCATGGGCCATGCTGTAGGATACTCGAGTAGCTGACAACCATTCTCACTTCTTTTTTTTTTTTTTTTAATTTATTTTTTTAATGTTTTTTCTCTTTATTTTTTTTTTTTTTGTTGACAGTTATCCAAAAACATGCAAGGTGCTTCACAGTAAAATTTGATATTGAAGGGCTCAAGAAACTGGCAGCATGAAGGTCTTGGAGACACAAGTGGTCATGTGTTGTTTTTTTTTTTTCCTCTCTCCTCGCACACTTATCCCCATTACTGGTTTTACACTTGGTTGAGGAATAGAAGACCCACAGAGAAGATGCAAACCCGTGGCCTCACTTCATATGGCTCAAAGCCACGTGATTTTGTTTTGTGTTTTTACTGAAGCATGCTCAGATGTATGCTAATCTATGACACAGCAGAGGTGTTTGAAAGGTCTTTTTGGTCTTAGTAAGCAAAAGGGTTTTCACCCCAGTTTTATACAGTTCTCGGAAATGTGTGGAGAGAATTTAGAGAGTTCCTCAGTAAATCTTCCTAGTGGTAGGGGAAAAAAATCAAAAAGCTCATTACTGGAATATTGTTGGGTAATAAACTGCAGGAGTGGGATTTTAGCCTTAAGCCCTAAAACTAAATCCTTTATGATCTGCATGTAGTACATCGCCTTATAATATTATTCTGTCAGCAACTTGCTTATCATCTTTATAGACTATGCAACATGCAGAACACAAATTCTGAGTGCCATCTAACAGCGTTTTCAGTCTTCTCATTATGACATTAACAAGCTAACTTTCCTGTCAGCCACAGGACCGGCTGCACGAGGGTGTTTTGTGGACAGACAGCCAAGGCTCTTTTGCTGCACCACAACACTCTACCAGCACCTTCTTGCCATGAAAAACCAACCTTGGGTTCCTGGACCGAGCGCATCCCGTGCTGACAGCTTGCAGTTACCAAGTCTTGAACTCTGTCCTTAGTTACTGTGGGACGAAAAGGACCTCTTCATGTTTTCCCTAAATGGAGGGTCTGTGGGGCTGTACCCTCTGAGTGGATGCTCTCCTCAAACACTGTGTCTCTAGCAGCATTTTGGATAGCAATTTTTGGAAAGATAAGAGCATTTTATTTTTTCCCCAAAGCTCAGGAGCATGGGGGGAGGCAGCAGCCACTCAGTTATCCTTCCCTGAGGGGGTTGTATCCCAGCACGTCCAAAGAGGTCCAACCCAAATCCAGCACTTATTGGCACTCTGACCCCTATTGAAGCCACGATGGGTGTTTAGTGACAGAATTTGTTCCCTTCAGGCCTTTTTCTCCGCTCACCACACACTGAAATGTCCTTCAATGCTAATAAAGACAACACTGGAGATAAAACTAAGGATAAGTTGTTGTTTGGCTTAGTTTCAGCTACCTGGAATACCAAACCTATGTTTTTTTCTGTCATTTTAAGTGACACTGTCACCTACTTTGAGGCTCAAATGAGATTGGGAAAAAAAAAAAGATTTCTAAATTAACTAAACCTCAGTCCAAAGCTTTTCAAGGAAGAAGTGAGGAGCTCAGTGAGGTTTAAGCATTTTTTTCCTGCAGGTCTACAGCTTCAGTCAGTAACACTGTGCTAATTCAAGAGAGCTGAAAAGCAAAATTGTTTGTAACAGAACGAGTAACCATCCAATTTATTTCTAAGCTGCATTAATTGGAAAAAAAAAAGCACAGATGCGTATGATGCACAATGCAAAACAAAAATTGGAAACAAAATTCTGCGATCCCTCTTATCAGTTTTAAGGAGTTAGGATCTCAAGATTTGTTCCAGTCTTAAAAAACAAAAAAATAAAAATACATCCCCTGTTCCAGCTCCCCGACGCAATCCTATCCCCAAATGTATTCAGTTTTAATAAGCTAAGGTGCTATCACAGAAGAAAAATCAGTCTCTAAAAAATAACGAGTTGTATGTTTACAGTGTTCCTCTAACACCATAGTCTTGATATGATTTTTGTAAATAAATAACAGAATAGAAACACAATATTTTTTGTGGGGACTTTTTTTGTTGGGTTTGTTGCTTTTTTTTCTTCTTTTTTTTTTTTTTTTTTTTTTTTTTTTTTTTTTTTTTTTTTTTTTTTTTTTTTTTTTTTTTTTTTTTTTTTTTTTTTTTTTTTTTTTTTTTTTTTTTTTTTTTTAGTGTCGTGCTATATGGAGTTTCCTTGGCAATAAACCAATTCAAGATTTCTCAAGAAAGGGAATAGCAAGTTGGCTTGTGAACCATTAAATAATTCCAATCCCCACTCCCTTGCTGTAATCTTCCCTCTCTGTTCTCATTTTAATATCCATCTTCACATGCCAGGTGTTGAGTGTACTGCAGGACGTTAAAAAGAAATGATATAAAGTTGAAAGTACCTATTTCAAATTTCAACAATTAACTTTTTTTTTTCTTTTTTCTTTAAAAGCATTGACACTGCAATGGAACAGCTTCCTGTTCAGTCTTTGTTTTAGCTAAACATTTTAATTGGGTTGTGGAAATGGAGCTTGGGTATTTTACCCAAGTTAAATCAATGGCTAACAGACAACTCGAATGAGAAAGGTACAATTTGAACTGACCATTTAAAGAGACGATTTGTCACACACAGTTTGCATCCATGCAGACTGAGAGGTTTATAATTACATTATGTACAAAAAAAAAAAAAAAAAAAAAGAAAAAATTATTTTTTAGTTTATTAAGGCAACCACAACTTGGAGAACGTGTCCAAAGTGGCATTAATACAATTGCAGTGGTGATACCCTTTGAACATTTTTATTTCTATTTTCAGATAAGAACACTTATTCCTTTTAATTTTTAAGAAATAATTGCCAAGAAAGGACCTATTATCGATAGGGTCTGTTCTATAGTTTTCTTAAACAATCTACTTTATCTATTTTTTTAAAAGATAATATCAAGGCATTGCTAAACAATGCAAATTATTCGGATCCTGGGTTTCCCTTCAGTTTCACTGGGAATTGCAGGTGGTAAAAATGGGTATGTTTGGGCCCTGTCTTTTTACTCAATTTTTTAAGTTTTTTTTTTCCTTTTATTTTTTTTATGTTCTTTTTTTTTTTTTTTTTGGTGATTTTGTTCATGTTTACTATAACTCTATTCCCCAGAAGTGTCTTGCTGTTCTCTACTCATATGTACCGAGCATCAAAACAACTTGGCTGATGGATGACCCCTTTTTCACATGCCATTGCCAAGTTGCTTCATATAAACATGCTATCGTAACTGAATATCCATGTATACCTTATTTTAAATGCTGTGATATTCCGTCGGTCCTTGGGATAGCACTCGGAATGAGTGTGCACGCGTGTAAGGCTCTAATTTTCTATTGCCTATATTGCAGCTAGTTGTAACTAGGCAAGTTAATGAGAAAGAAACATATATTTCTAGCAGGAGTCAGGCACTTTGGGCTATGCTGTCCCAAAGCCTGGTAGGTATGAAAAAAAAAAAACTGGAAAAAAAAATAAAATTCAAACAGATTATAACCCATATCACAGTTGAGAAAATTACACTAAGGTAAGGTTTTTCTTTCTTTCTTTCTTTCTTTCTTTCTTTCTTTCTTTCTTTCTTTCTTTCTTTCTTTCTTTCTTTCTTTCTTTCTTTCTTTCTTTCTTTCTTTCTTTCTTTCTTTCTTTCTTCCTTTTTTCTTTCTTTCTTTTTCTTTCTTTCTTTCTTTCTTTCTTTCTTT